GGACCCGGTATGTGGTATAATTGGTAAACTGAAGTTTTTATTTCGTAACCTGAACTTGTTATCTGCCATAGTATTGTTGTCATTTCCTATACTGAAGTTCTGATTTGCTATAGTGACATAGAGCTTTGTCATTGTTAAGTTGTAATTTGGCAAACTTAAGTTGTTATTCGCAATACTTATGCTGTGATTAGCCATATTGAACTTATCAATGGGTAGACTGACTTGTGATTTTGTATATTGAACTTGTCATTCGGCATAATGAACTTGTCATCTGCCATACGTGAGTTGTGATATGGTTTACTGAACTTGTCATTCGGTATAATGAACTTGTCATCTGCCATACGTGAGTTGTGATATGGTTTACTAAACTTGTAATTCTGTATAATGAACTTGTGATGTACCATATCTGAATTGTAATTTGGTTTACTGAAGTTGTCATTCGATATAATGAACTTGTCATCTGCCATACGCGAGTTGTGATATGGTTTACTGAACTTGTCATTCGGTATAATGAACTTGTCATCTGCCATACTTGAGTTGTGATTTTGTTTACTGAACTTGTCATTCGGTATAATGAACTTGTCATATGTCATACGTAAGTTGTGATTTTGTTTACTGAACTTGTAATTCTGTATAATGAACTTGTGATCTGCCATACCTGAATTGTAATCTGGTTTACTGAACTTGTCAATATGTCATAGTGAAGGTGTCATTTCCCATAGTGAACTTGTTGTTGTATATACTTACTTGATTAATGTTTTTTACATGCAGGAGCTGAAGAAGTTACGTGAGCGTCTAATGAAGAGGATAGAGGAAGGGCAAAAGATGCTGATAAAAATGGTGGATGAGGAGTTGGTGAAGGTGCAAATCCCAAGACAGGGAGATGGTGGGAAGGGTAAATCAAGAGGAAAGGCTCGGGTTGAGACAGTGCCTACAAATATAAGTGACTCTGAAGATGATGAGGAGGAGAGGCGCAACAATGATAACACAAGTGAGGAAAAGGAGAAGGATGAAGTAAGCAGTGAAGATGGAGACAGTCATGGGAAGGGTGACACAGAGAATGACAGCGATAATGAAGAGATGGAGGAAGAGGGTCAAGGGGATGGTGATGACAGGAGCGAAGGGGAGAGGGAATACAAGGGTGATGGGGAGAGTGATGACAAGTAACCACTTATGATGGAGAGTGCAATACCCACAATTAGTTCCCCTATGGAAGTGGCAGGCAATATTGTAGGTCATAATGCAGAGGGTGACATACCTGCAGCAAGTCCCCCTAGGGAAGTGTCACCCACCATTGAAAGTGATGAGGCAGAAGGTCACTCACCATGGAGGTATCCCCCTTGGCCATTGTTGAATATGTTGGGCCTATCTAGAACCTGTATCTGTGGAGGCACAACAACTAAGGAGATCTACTAGGGTTCGGTTCAGCAAGATCAAGTCTCCTTGGTTGGAGTTGAAGGCACAATCAAGAGTGAAGAGGCCTATGGAGCCCAAGGATATTTTTTTCAACTTAGTCAGCCGAGCTGTCAAAGGTGATGAGGGTGAGATGTAAGTGAAAATCTTTGCTTATGTGATGTTATTTGTTGACTACATGTTAACATAACACATCTAGTAACTCACTTGAATATGTTTCAGTCCTTTGATCAGAATGTTTGACGAAGACATCCCCCGATGATTGCTGCATTCGCTTGGTGGAAATAATAGGGTGAGTAACCAAGTGATGTCGTTGGTCTGTAAGGCTTTGGTGCAAGAGCAACAGGTAGTTGAAGGCTGAGTTAGGAGGCATATATTTGATGCAACTTCATGGTGAGGTTTCTGTATTACTAATAGGCTTTGTTGATTTACAAGACTAGAAATGAAAATGACAGAATAAAGTGTGTTACAGTGAATAACAACTTGGTTTTCTGCATTTCACAGGCCATAATGACCCGTGATCCAGCTCGTTGGGATCCTAACCAGCATGCACGACAAATACTTCCGCATTATGTTGGCTACAACATAGGTGACTGTGACTTGATTCTGGGTCCTGCTCTAGTTGGGGAGCATTGGTTCTGTTTTGCATTAGAACCAAAGACCCAGAAGTTCAATGTCTTTGATTCTATGCGAGCAAGTTTACAGCGTAAGAAGACCACCTCCAAGCAGAAGAAGGCAGCCACATATGACCCCCAAGAAATGGCCATCACCGGATGTGTAAGATGTTACTGACCTGTGCATTTTAGATAGGAAAATGACAGTTTTATATTATTATCCTTTTGATGAATATGGCATATGTGCAGAGGGATCGGTTTGAAGACATACTTCACATGGTCAGACCAGATTTTAGTGATAACTTGAAATTGTCCAGCCTGATGTACCACAGCAGAATAATTTGTGAGTGTCTACACCCTACTCATGTGATATGTTATTTGGCTGTGTTGGTTTGAGGAGCTGAAACTGTTAGGGTGGTGTTGTGGGCAGGAGGGACTGTGGTGTGCATGTGCTCATATGGCTCAAGAAATGGGAGCCTGATGTTTCCCTTGAATATACCGAGGTATTGACATTACCTTATTTATTGTGCAATCAAGAGTGACCACGTGTGACTTGTTTGGTGGTAAACTTGCTGTGCAGGCTGATGTGTCCTCTTTTTGGCGCGAGTTGATGTGGTGGCTGGTGAACCATGATGACAATGAATGCCGTCAGAATGTGTATGATCTTATCTCACAACCAAGAAGGGCCGAATGACCAAGAAGAGGAGAACGTCTTTATAGAGAGCATTTAAATTAGGCTGTGACTTTTACTAACTTTGTCAATGGATTCATTTGTTGAAATTGTATGCCAATTATTGTAATGGTTATGATATGGTTGGATTGATGGTATAACAGCACTTATATTTGGAATGACAAATTTCCCTTTAGTCAGGCCAAATGGCCAATGACAAGTTTAGTATGGGCGACGACAAGTTCATTATGGCCAATGACAACTTGTGAAAAGGTTTTCATACAAATTTGTGATTCTGTATTAAAGGTGGCTAAATTTGCACATTGATTCACGGAATGAGAGGTTGACAAAGGAAAATGACAAGTTGACAATGCCAAATCACTAGTTCCCAAGATGTTTTCATGCAAGGAAAAATTTCTGTTCCAATTAGTGGAATTCCACTTATGATAATCACGGAATGACAGGTTCACTAAGGAAATTGACAAGTTGACTAGTGAAACTTACAAGTTCCGATAAGGTTTTCATGAAATCGAGATTGTCTGTTGAGATGAGTGGATTCCCACTTATGATAATCACGGAATGACAAGTTCACTAAGAAAATTGACAAGTTGACTTGAGAAAGTTACAAGTTCCGATAAAGTTTTCATAAAACCGAGATTCTCTGTTGAGATGAGTGGATTCCCACTTATGATAATCACGGAATGACAAGTTCACTAAGGAAATTGACAAGTTGACTTGGGAAATTTACAAGTTCCGATAAAGTTTTCATGAAACCGAGATTCTTTGTTGAGATGAGTGGATTCCCACTTATGATAATCACGGAATGACAAGTTCACTAAGGAAATTGACAAGTTGACTTGGGAAATTTACAAGTTCCGATAAAGTTTTCATGAAACCGAGATTCTCTGTTGAAATTAGTGGATTCCCACTTACGATAATCATAGAATGACAAGTTCACAAAAGAAAGTGACAAGTTCACTACCGAAAATTACAAGTTCGAATAATGTTTTCATGAAACGATTGGATTTTCACTACTGGCGAACACAAAGTTACAACTTCAAAAAGGGAAATGACAAGTTTACTATGGAAAATGACAATTTCTCAGAAGGTTTTAATACATTTTCATACTTTTGAAGACATTGATTACATTGCACATTTCCAAGAGCAACCACTTCTAATCAACGCAGAATGACAAGTTGACATTGCCAAATGACAACTTTACTATGCCACATGACAAGTTCCTATAAGGTTTTGACACATTTCGTTTTCTGACAGCAACCACTTCTGATAAACACGGAATTACACTTTGCACATTTCTGACAGCAACCACTTCTGATGAACATGAAATTACAAGTGCACAAAAGCAAATGACAACTTAACTATGCAAAATAACAAGAAGTGACAAGTTCTGATTTCTTTCACAGCAACAAGTTCTTTACAACATTCAATGACATGTGCACATTAACTTACATCTTCCACTTAATGTCCCTTTATCCCAAACATAGAAGTAACAAAAATATATGTGCACATCTACCAACACCCTGCTCCCAAAAAAATTAAGAAGGATGAACCCTATATGTGCCAAAAAAATTAGTTGTCCCATTTGTAAGTGGAAGTCAACTTGGGTTAGGATTTTTGCATGTCCTCTTTGTATGTCCAGGATGAAGACATCTAGTGCAATGATATATTTTTTTGTTGTGGAATTGTGATTCCTTTCTATTTCTTCTTGGTCTTCTAGAAGGCCTAGCAGTGACTGGGGGTAAAAGCAAGGGTTGAGCAGTAAGATTCTCAAATGTATAATCATTCAAGTGAGGCATATCAATTGTCACCACTGGAATCATGCTCCGGGCATAGATTTTTTCTTGGGATGAACGTTTGTAACACTCTTCAACATAATCATAAACGTTTCCCCCTATGGTCTTAATGGCTGCACAAGCATGTGAGCATGGAATCCCTAACATTTGCCAAGTTCGACAGCTACATTGGTGTAGGCCAAGGTCCACTCTTTGGTCTCCACGTGATGTGTGAACGCATATTCTTCCCCCTCCATAATTCTCACAGTGCATGTACCTACCGAAATACACATGCTCCAATACTTTTGCCTCTATTTTTGGCCCAACGCAATTACTCCACTTAGTCATTGCTGCATATGATGCATGCATCTTTCTTACTACTTTCTCCCGGTGCTCATGGATCATTTGGGCCACGTTATGCTTCCTCTCCCTTACCATCCAAGCATTAAAAGATTCAGCTAAATTAGTTGTTATGTTGTCCCACCTTCTATATGGGAACTTGCTCAATGCCTACCTATCCACATCACCTTGATTGATAACCCACTCATATAACTCATGAGATATGGTTCTGAGATCATCCAGCGCATGATCAAACTCATCCGCAAGTCTTGCATAAGCCACTTTATCCAGTACCTTCAATGCATCTTCCTTTGAATTTTCACTTGTCCTTCTCCGACCTCTGTTTAATTTCATATATTCAGAGCTAAAGTTCTCCTTCACATGCCTATAACAGTATGCCTGCCTTTCACACCCAAATATTGCTTGCACAGCACCAATTATAGAATTATGTCTATCTGACACAATAGTCAGTTGCATTGAACCAACTATTTGTTTAATCTTGTGAAAAAACCACGTCCAGTTATCAAGATTCTCTCCCTTCACCACTGCTATTGCAAACGGCAACATCTCATTATCCGCATCATATGCCGAAACTGACAGTAACGTCCCCTTATATGGACCACTTAAATGAGTACCATCAACATATAATATAGGCCTTGCACCGTTCAAAAAACCCTCAACACATGCACTGTATGCAATGAACACACGCTCAAATTTATTACCAATGGAGGCCCATTCAGCAACCGTTTTGTCATCAGTTTCCTTCAACCTTTCACATAACCATGGTATTAACATATAGGACTGTTCCGGTTTCCCATGTATTTCTTCCATTGCCTTTTCCTTTGCTCTATATGCCTGACAATATGTAAGCCTCACACCATACTCCCTCTCCAACATCTTCCTTATCTTAGTGGGCCGTTTTTCAGCATGGTCCCTTATCTCTTCAACTATTACTGATGATGTCAACGCAACACTCCCACCATAGGTCACAATCAAATTGTCTTGGGCTGAATGAATGTGCTTATTGCAAAATGTAGTCACACGTAATAGATGACTGTTCTTTCCAACAGCATTTGCACATATCTTCCAAGGACACCCTTCTACTTTACACCTCACATTCATCTTCTCCTTACTATTCCTATATATCTCGCTGCAAACTTCTCTGCAATATGAACCAGTACACAGCTTCCCTAAAAGCAACAGCATGTGGAACATATTGGCCCACTCCTACAAACACTCTTGCCCATTTCGTACAATTCATCTCGCCCGTCAGTCTTCTCTGACTCTCTAAACCGCTACACTTGCTTCTCTGACTTGATCCGCCTCCTTCAAAAGTTAGGCATTCAACTCCATTTTCAACATTCACTAGCTCATGTTCATCACCAATGGTCGTTTCAAATGTATTCATGTCTTGTGAAAGTCCAAATAAATTCTCACTCCTGCCACCATAATACCAAGTTAGGACAGCTATATTCAAACGACAGGTTTGAATAAAATAACATGTCTACATATCTAAATAACAAGTCCGCATATGGTTATTACAACTTTAGTAACTAAAATAACAAGTCTACATCTACAAACAATTCCTTGCTAAAATAACAAGTCCGTATGTGGTAATTACAACTTGAGTTACTCACATAACAAGTTTCCATATAGAAACTACTGGTTAGTAAAATAACGTCTACATATCTAAATAACAAGTCCGTATATGATAATTATAACTTCAATACGTTGAATTACAAGTCTACATATGAAAACCTCTACTTATGTTTAATAACAAGTCTGCATTTCTAAAACACAAGTTTACAAATGGAAATGACATGTCCACTATGTTCAATAACATGCTTGCATTTACTAATTACAATTTAGGACTGCAACACCATTAGCTTCGTTACAATATTTCTATACGAATTACCAACAATATATTAGTAAATAACAAGATTCAATTGGAAAACATAACCACTTACACGTCTGGATCATTCCTTGCTCTAGGTTCCCTATCATTCCCTTTCCTTCCTACATACACATGACCACTGCTGTCATTATATCTAAACAAGTTGCAGATATCACCATCATCACAAAGATCAATCAATGTACTCTCATCAAATTTAACTTTATACTTAATCTCATATCCACCACCATCATTGCCTATCCACTGTAAAATTATTCCACACAACTCGTCTACTATTATCCATTCTTTTATACTGGTTACCCTTACCCTCCCTCCAATATATTTAACTATCCCTTCACCATTTGCTTCAAAATGTCCACCAATGTGCACATAACAGAACAACTCCTTCCCACAGCTTCTTCGGTTATTGAAATCCATTTTTCATACTAATCTGCAGCAAAAATTTACATTTAGTCAGTACGTTAGCTTCACTAATAAATATTTACACATTTATTCTATCGACTCAACCATTTACATACCAAATTAAAAACCCGTGACCTCCTGTCTTCCCAACATTACTTTAGGGCTTCACAACTTCACTTTAGGGCTTGACGACTTCAACACCGAAAATCATGGTATCGTCATTCCCTCATTCCGTGGCAACACCTCAACCTTCGCGGTCAAACTAACGGCCATTATCCAACCTACACTCTGCTAAACCACTACACTCTAATCCCTTCCCCATCGCAACCAACACCGTGCACTACAAATGAGAGATGACCATTCACACTACGAAAACAAAAATATCCCACCTCCAACTAACCACAACCTCCTACATTGTGATATCTTTCATCTTCAACTACACCTCCCATTCCCTCCCTTCCTCCAGCCTACTCACCCACACAGCAGAGATGAAGATGAAGAATGTGACGATGTGTAACTCTTACGAGGAACAATACAAGAAGGGTTTACTTAGTAAGTTACTCGCATTATTGCCAATGTTAGAAGATCCCAATATCACACATACTCGTTCGGCTCATCCTACTCCACCAGCTCTCCCGCCACCCATTAAAATCCTGGCCTCTGCCTTCATTAACAGTAATGATGAGTGAGGGGCATTTCAGCCATTTAACACACATTTCATAATTGCAAATTGGGACCAGGTCCTCTGCAGCAATTTCTCAAATTCAGGGTCCCTGATTGCCATTTTATATATTGGGGGTCTTTATTTGCAATTTTTCCTATAATTAATATGGTAGAATATTACTTTCGATATTTAATATAAGAGCAAATTAACTAATTTGAGCAAATTTAAAAAGTTTGTTGAATTAGTTATTTGTAATGATTAGGTGTTGTCTCCTCTCAAATATCCTTACTAATCATGCATTAATTAAAACTACAATTTGATTGAAGATTTAACATATGCAACTACTATAAGGACTATTTTGAAGGAAAAAAAAAAGATAAATAAGAGAGATAAAGTGGATTAGGGTCTTATATTTAAAATCAAATTAAAAGTTAAACTAGCACTTATATTAAAAACAAGAGATAGTATGGTATATAATTAATTAAAAATAAAAAAAATAGTTAAGATCTCAGACATTATCCTATGATCATGACCATGTCATTCTAAAAGATTTGTGTCCTGTAAAAAAGATCGTAGCAGTTGCGTATAGTAGTATCATAGAGGATGTTACAAAACATTGTCTAATTGATCACCATGTTGCAAATAATCTGATTTATTATCGAAATTTTCATATTATGTGTGTGAATTAAAAAATTGAATAATTTTTTTAACAAGATAAATAGAAATAATGGAAATATAAGCATTAACTAACATAAAATTTAAGAAGACACTATTTATGAATTATTGACAGCATTGTCCTTCTCAAACGAATGCTGAACAGGAGCATCAAAATAAAGTCGTGTCATGAATATTACATATGGATGTCTATCTCTTCTTCTTTAATTTTATTAAGTAGTTTTTATTATGTATTACTCCTCCACAACTCCACCATCCCTCTGTTAGCTATTTAATCTTATAACTCATATCTGCTCACATTTATGAGATTGATTACCTACTATTTATCATTTAAAAACAAATATAACTTATGTATAAGACTATGTTTGTAAATAAAGTATGTCATTTGTATTGTGAGGTAACTGAAAGAATACAATAATTCTCTTATTTTCTTGTCTTCATCTTTCTCTACTATGTTTTTCTAGTTTCATTTCATAAGGTTTCACTTCATAAGAAGTCCTAAATTTTGTACTCCCACCCTTCAATTTTAACGCATTAGAAAAATAATTAATTTTAAAATATCAAGTTATTATTAGTAGAAAGCTTCACAGAAAGGATTTAATATAAAAGCATAATAGAATAAAACAATTTTATAGTTAAAAAAACTCCAATAGAATGTGAAATTACGCTGCATATTCCTCATATAATTACTGAAATACCCTTTTTTATTTTATTATTATACTACCAATAACCCTTAGATAAATTGTGTAATAAAGTTGTAAGCATGTTTAAACATCTAAAAATTAGACATGTTAAAACTTATCAATTTAGAAATTTTCACTTGTTAATGTATCAAATCGGTTGTAAATTGAGAGATTTGAAAATGCATATAGGGATAATAGGATTAGAATTGAAAGTGCGTTCACAGTCTTATAATTTATGAGCAAAATCTTTATCAATTACGTCAACTTCTACCCCGATAACAAGTATTTTTATTGTTAAATTTTATCCTAAAACAGAGATGACATTTCTAAATTTTTAATCCTTTTTTTTTTTCCCCATTCCATTCCAATGTACTCCCAAACGAGACACGGACAAGCCATTTTATAAATGATGGGTCGTGTGAAAATGTCAAATCAAAAAAAGAGTAAAGTGACATGTATGCCCAAAATAAGTGAGACCACAACAAAATTGGGCATTAATGAGAATGCCCAACAAATTAGGGCAATAGGCCCTATCTTTGTCAAGCTACAATTTTTTTCCGCCAAACTACAATTTATGAACACAAGGCGTGTTTTATTTGTATTTCGTACTTGGGCCTACATGTAGGTACCTGGCTCCTCCTCCGTTCTTTTTTGTTCCTTGGTTTTTTGTCAACGCTACGTTTTTTGTTCAGGTCAGTACACGGCCATGCCTAGCACCACTATGAAAACATGCGCACTAATGGGTTAACCTGCTGCCTCGTATTCTATTTCAATGCCCATTTGATTTCACCACAAATAATTACTTTTGCATTTTACTATGCAAAAATATCTTGTACAATGCATAATTACTTAGAATAATCTAATCCAAGCCGACACAGACTAAGGACTTGTTTGAAGCAAATGTAGATAAGCCGAAACATAATTCTCCTTTTTACTCTCCTAGTCCTATTTATAGGACAGAAAGAAAATTTTTTAGTCCTATTTATAAATCATTTTATTAAATTTTTATTACAATATATTATTTTTCATTTATTATAATGTAGATAATTATTTTTTTTTAAAAGGTATATATATTAAATAAAAGTAAAGTTAGAAAATTGCTATATTTTAATAAAAAAATTAATACAATTTAAAATTTTTCTTGATATGTGTAAATCGTGTGAAACATGTTAGAACTATTTTATAAATAGGACCAAAGGAGTAATTACTTCATATTTCTGCTTTTGAAGAATCTTACAACCATTCCAAACAAGCACTAGGACGTCTTAAATAGATTGTTGTGATGGCCAGCCCAAAAAAAAAAAAAAAAAAATCCAAAGTCACCTCCGCCAGTCATATTGTTTGTTTGATCAGCTTGTTCAATAGATCAGGTATAGACAATCATTTTCTGTTGAGCACTCTAATCTCTGGATAATATAGAATCATATGATCATGTAGTTGGCAAAAAATATAAGCCTATAATCGTTGATTGATAATTCAACATACAAATGGGGAGTATGACAACTAAAGCCGGCAAAATCTCTGCATGTCCCATGTATGCAAATGTATGGAATACGCACTGCTAAATATTACCTGTGAGAAAAACAATACATTAAACACTAAACTAAAACGGGTTCCTTCCTGTTCCTCTTCTTTTGGATCCACTTGTTGGCTTTGAGCTTGTTTTCTGGTTCAGGACGGGACATAATTAACCAACTATTCGAGACCAAAAATGTGGTTTTCTAGGCCAATAAAGAAGAAACATGACATACCGATTTTGATTTCTTAACCTTTCCTCGAATCCTGT